CGCAGGAGATACATTCGGTCTTACATCATGAAGTCCACAGATAATAAAACCAATGAGAATATCTACGAGCGCCGAATGGCGGGAAACCACGACTCTCCGATAACTACTAAATATATTCAACCGAATAATTACTACAGTCCGAGATTACGGAACCCGAAAATATTCCACGGACGACCCAATGAAATTGTATGAGATTTAGCCGTGGAGATAAACGCTTTAGAAATGAAATTGGAGAAATTTTCCGATTTCTTATATAAACATCAAGCTGATTCTATCATGTGGTAGAATATTTAATAGTTATAACCTTTGGAGTTATCAATTGTAAGGATTTAAGTGAGATATTATCCGAATGATTATGGTCGAATGAATCTAGTAATCAAATATTTTTTTGCCATTTGGATATTTATAAGATTCTAACATAATTTAGAATAAATTCAGGTTTATTTATATAAATAAATTTAGGTTAACATAATAATTAAATTTATGTTGTTAAATTATCTCCACGGAAACTTATTTTTATATTCTTAATTAGTTATCAAAGACATGCACTAGTCTTTTAAAAATTAGGAATAAACTATAATAAATAGCTCAGTACTTTTTAATTTTAGTTTTAAGTGTACCGGTGGAATGAAATAAAAGAAGTATGGATACTCAATATGCAATATTATTTTCAAAAGAACATTCAAAAATTGGTCCTAAAGTTAAAACAGTGTTAACAATCGCTCTGGAATGTTTTCTATAATTCACAATCGGTTTACATCAACAGAGAGCTTATTGCAGGCTTCGATACAAGGGATATTCTACTGGTAAATTTCATTTAAATCTTATACTACCCAGTTATAAATACAATTATGTACTCATAAATTAATTTGTCATAAAATGTAAAATATAAAAATGTTTAAGTATAAATTACAAATTTAATAAAAAAGAATCAAATATAAAGTAAACCAAAATCCTGATAATTCCAGAATCCCGCAAACCCCATCCTAAATGATACATGAGATCCTTAACTATAACAATAATCTATCTATTTATAATAATTGATACTATATTAATTATCTAATGACCATTGAGACCGACATCACAGTAAAATCTACTAATTACATCTTAGGTTCAGGAATGATCTTAAAATAAAAACTTACATTTATTAAGTCGATAAAATTTATATTTCGCAATACGAATAGATTGGGCCATTCTCGAGGCGGACAGATCCCATCGGATCTACAGCGCGGTAAGAAAGCATATTTCTGGCGGGAACAATCTATCAATAGTTATCCTAAAACATTACATTTTGATAATAAATTCAAGCTATATTGTGCGCCAATAAAAAGTGATTATCAAAGTTACACATATTTTATGATTTTTAACATATAGGTTATAAAATTTGCATAGATATTTAAAAGCAAGTTGGAAGATAAAGCTATAAGACAAGAGAAATATCCTAATTTCGTATTTTTAACAATTTTTTTTCACCTAAATATTTAAATAATTTTCTTAATAACATCGCGTTTGTTATAATTACTATATTTTTATTTGTAAGTCAAGCTTGTATCGTTCCCGCCTTCGCTAAGTGTAGGTCCCAAAGTGAAATTTAAATGTGAATTTCAGTATCTCATATATCATTCATTCATTCATTCACTGCTTCAACTCTTGTGTATTGCCCCAAATCATTCACTTCTCATAAATAGAAGTAGCAAAGTAAATAAAAATCGGTGTAATGTCTTTTGTGCTATTAAATCGCTATATGAAATATTTCAAAATAAATACATTGTATATAATTGTATAAACACTATTCTGCAACGAAAAATAATAAAAAGAATGATAACATTAAGCGAAAGTTATCTTTGACTACCGTTTATATTTATAAGTTCATTATAAACAAATATCTTAGCGTTACAATACAATATTTACAAACATATTAACAATAATAAATCTTATAAATACTATGAAATGGATATTTTACAATAAATAGTCTATAAAACAGTGTCCGAAGTGTTCGGAACAAATTCAATACTTAAATGTTCTATAGAATTTTGAAATACCGATGTTAAATTCCTGTTTGAATAACTTTGGTCGTGATTTAACATTGGTCGTTATATCAAATTGATACAATCATCAAAACGGAATTTTCTACTTCACTTATAAATGTACTACACATTCAATTGGTGATATTTTATATAAACAGTGGTTATAATTATAACCAAACAAAAAATTATAAGTTTGATTTAAAAAATTGCGAAAAAACAAGAATGGTAAGTTTGAATTTATATTACTTTTCAAGTTATTTCATTATCTTTCACTGATTAAATAAAATCTCAATAAATCGAATATGTTATAAAACATTAAAATAGTCTACAGAATATCATTAAGGAAGGAATTATCTAGAGAGTTCAATAGTTCTTGAGCGGTGAGGTTACTTGTGTCGGAGGAAGGCATGTTGTCGAGGAAGTCGAAGTTGAAGTCTGCTGGTGCGGAGTAGGAAGACGTGTGGAGCGAGGGGAAGGCGTGACTGGTGTTGTTCTGACTCATCATAGAGTTCTGCATGGGATTGGTCTGGGCGTGCATGGAGCCGGTCTGCGCCTGCATGGGGTTGTTCTGCATAGGATTGCTCTGCATGGGATTGGTCTGATGCGAGCCCATGCCGCCCATGCCCGCTTGCATCGACATACTCTGGGACTGGCTCATGTGAATATTCGGCATCTGGAAATTGTATAATTTTTTATTAGTAATTTTTTATATGTTAATCTATACTAATATGATAAAGCGAAAACACTCATTACTATGTGCAATGTTAGCAATCCCAATATATTTTTACATAATTATTATTTTTTAATAAAAAGCCCTACACTTACGACACGTTTTAGGCAAGATTTTTTCACGCTATTAAACTTAGGGAGTAAATAATATAGGAAAATAACTGTAATGCGGAAAAGGACAAAAACTACAAGCTGACAAAATCAAGGAATCAAGGTTGCCATGGTAACGGTAATTGTTATCTAATGTCAAAGGCCTTTGTTGATTTTGACTCTGAATTTTGACATTTGTTATTGTAAAATTTCACAAATGTAAACAATAAAATAAAGTTTTCATAATTCCATGCGGATGAAGCCGGATTGAACAGCTAGTTAAAAATAAAACGATTAGTGGAACGCAATAGCAAATAACTTATACGATTACACTATCTCTACATTGTAATCATCCTTGAACCCAGACATCTATGAACACATATTTGCAATGTATTGTTACAAGAATATATTTAATTTAAATTAAATTATTTAAACTATCGTGAGACATTATTTTAAGCGAAAATGATAGAACTGAGTGCGAGGCGCGACGTGACCGGGAACAAAGCTAATACTTGTCCTGAAGAAGGCCCAAGTCGGTGCCCTCACAGGAGGATAAAACGTGAGTTGAGTCGTCTTTAATTCTCGCTTAAATATGTGATGAAATAAGTATGGTACACACATTGTGATTGAGAAAATAAGGAGTAAAAGATTAGCGTGGTATGGGCATGTTATGAGGAGAGATGAATCGCATGTAACAAGACGGACGTTAGTTATGAATGTGGAGGTACACCGGTAGAGGTAGACCTAGAAAGAGATGGATGGATTGCGT